GTGAATGGTAACTTCCTTTATACTAAGAGTTTAATTGTTTTTTTGGTTTTTTTCATGTCGACAATATAGTAAAATTTCCCAGAATATTTCTGTGAATGACACAAAAACGAATATTTTTTGCAATTGTCATTCTTATACCAACTTGTCTCATCCATATAATTATTTTGGAAAATTTTAGTATATATGCAATGTAATTATTATTATTATTAAATATCAATATATATAATTGATATATATAAATTCATGAATCATTCATACAAAAAACAAATATAGAGGTTAATGATTTAAATAACGAGAATACATCGTCACAAACACATAAATAAGGTACACCGACCTCGAACCTGTATATGAATGATATGATCCCAGTTTATAAATTCCAGTTGCATAAGGTCTTTTTAATTTTTTTACAAGCTTTCGTCTGTTCCTACAGACATCATCAGGTATGGAAATAGATTTTGTTCTTGTTTTTACTTCTCAGTAATAAGAGGACAACGAAAATAGAGATGTAATCCGAAAAAAAATGCTATGAAAATGTGTTATTGTTTTGGAACGTGCGGTCGCAACGCTGAGTTTGAATTTAAATTTTAAGGTTGTGCGTTTTTTGTACAAATATAGCAATAAGAGAATTATTTTTTTACTGGTAGATTTTCCGTGAATATGGCATGAACTATATTGTTCAATAATTATATAATATCATATATTATTATCCGATATTGCACGTTGGATCAGTTATTATAATTTCAATTAAAAGGTGTAAATATAATTTATAAATTCATGAATCATTCATACAAAAAACAAATATAGAGGTTAATGATTTAAATGGCGAGAATACTTCGTCGCAAACTATATAAATAAGATACATCAACACCGAACATGTATATGAATGATATGATCCCCGTTTATAAATTCCAGTTGCATATTCACGGAATATGTCTATTAATTAATTAATATATCTATATCTATATCTATATATATATATATATATATATATATATATATATATATATATATATATATATATAATTCAGACCTTAATTTTCCTGGATATCTTATTTTAAACGGTATTTTTTATTTAGCATCAAATAAAACAGGATTCCCTAAAAATATCGTTTGAAATTAATATGTCGGATTAAAATTTTGTAAATGAATATATTGAAAGAATGAATGGATTCCAATTATAATCCAACATCATTCCCAATTACTTTGTACTTTATATTTAATGAACACACGTGGCTGAGTAAACAGGAATTTGCATGTAAGAGTCTCAATAAGGGTCCATATACCTTCTGGCATGGTTGGAACTTGCGACACCGTTGTAGAGGAAATAATTATGTAGCGTGCTTTTAACCGCTCAACAACAGAAGTCTTCCATATATATATATATATATATATATATAAAAGGAGCCATTGTGGACTAATCGATAGCGGCTCAGATTGGGAAATGTATGAGCTCTCTTCTTCTCTTCTATGGGTTAATAGCAGGATACACCAGGTTCTATAGCCTTGAATGGCAATTGGTCTACCGCAGAAAGAAATGGCAACCTTCTGCAGGAAAAAAATCAGCCTCGTCAGCCATGTATCGAAAGATGCATCATCGCCAAAGCGTGTATCACCCATGACACATAACTATGACTGATTTTATATATATATATATATATATATATATATATATATATATATATATATATTATATATATATATATATGTGTGCGTGTGTGTGTGTGTGTTTTTAATTCGTGGAACCCGTACGCCTTGAAACTAATTAATATTTAGCGAGTCCATAAATTTTTAATCTAATTTAATATGGGCGCAATAAGTTGTACGAAGCACATCAAGAAGGTCCCCGATTTTTGCCATGTTCGCTGTAGCATTGACTCATCAATGGCATCAGTGATCCTTTGCTTTAGATCAGTGATGTCTCGTATCTTTGTTCGATACACGATATCTTTAACATAGAAAGAACATTAGAAGAGTGATATCTTGTGAACGAGGTGGCCAGTTTATTGAGCCATCCTTCCTAGTCCACTGATCTGGAAATATTAGGGGGTTCAGTTAACAGTAAATCTTTCATGAACTAGATACCTGAAATACACAAATGCAATGCCATTAAAAACTTTGATAACTACTGAGTACATAGAAAAAATCTGATTAAGATATCTCATCAATTGCATTTGTAATATATTTTTTAAATTATAAAGAGATTTTATGTAGACCCTCTAGTATACAAATGAGCTGAAATTAAACAAATTTATTTTAGAACAACCATATGATTAACCTAATTGTCTTATCTGTATCTTATAATCGTCAAACTGACGCACGAAAACACACACACACACGGAAATATATTGGATATGTTCCATACTTTAGCGATCATGCATCTTTCGATACATGACTGACGAGGCAGATTTTTGCCACAGTAGGTTGCCATTTCTTTCTGCGCTAGTCCAGTTGCCATCCTGGTCCTGTCCTGCTATTCATACCTTTCTTAAGGGTATTAGTACGTGAGTAATTGTAATGGATTCCTCGATCCGAGCCGCTATCCATTACTCTACCGTGCCTCCTTGGATTAAGACAAGTATCAAAACACGTGTTACTTAGCTGATTGATGTTAGATTCATCAGCTCTACTCCAGAGTTTCATTGACGAACCTTTTTGTAATAATTCGGTTCACTTGTCAGGAGGTATCAGCAACTGTCTGCCGATTTTCTTATTTTCGTTTTTTTATATTACATTTAAAAAATAATTTAGGTTTATTGGGGTTAGGTTGATTTTTCTTCTTCTTTGTGTTTGTGCATGCATGTGTGTGTACGCGTGTGTTTGTGCGTGTGTGTGTTTATGCGGGTGTATGTACATGTCTACACCTGTACGTGTGTGTATGTGCAAATATAGTGTAATTCCTTGAGATACGATTTTAATTCTTTCCAAGACCAAGCTCGTAACTCAAAAGACTCGTATCTCAAATCAATTTTCCACATTGAAATTCATAGGAATATTTATAATCCATTCCAGACCATTAAAAATCGCCCGTATTTTCGTAAAATTCAACCCTATGTCTGTAAACGTGTAAATAAACAAGAAACAAGTTTACAAACAATAAAATAAAAGCAAAAAATAAATTGTAAAAAAAATAGACTGTACTAATCCATGAAGTTCAGAGGAATTATAAACCAACTGACGGAGGAGAGAATGATGGTGGGTGTGGGTAATACAGCTAGCCTATCAACCGCTAACCTATACTAGCAACGGCAAGCCTAGTTTATGATACAGAAAATTACCTTTATCACTTATCTTTTAAATAGCTTAAAACATTTACATTTTATTCATTTCTGTAACTAATATTTTAAATTTTTAAAATTTCATTTTTTTTTTTTTTGTTATTTATTTATCTTCGATGTAGAACGTCCATACTGTCTCGCCGAATCAATTACTCATACATCTTCCTCATTTTTTTTTAATTTCTCGCTTAACCTCAGTCGAAATCATACGTTTCGGCTTTTAACTACTGCTCTTCACACTTTCTTCGGATATATCATGTCACTAAAGGAAATTTTCAATATAACGACAAAGAGACACAATACAACAGAGATCCTTCCAGAGCGAGGGGAACACGTGTACTGCGAGTGGAAATACTCTCGAAGCTTGGCGCAGAGAGCTTAACTGAAACTCGGTCACATTTCAAAATTCAGCTCGTATCTGAAGGCAAAAGTCGGCCGAACTCTCGCTCGTATCTGAAACAACTCGTATATCGGTACGCACGTATCTCAAGTCATTTCTGTATATGAATATATAAATTATAATTCACAGAAGCATACACATACAGACACACAGAGACACAAATAATATGCTCGCACGCGTGTCTGTATGTCGCTTCTATTTTTTATATAAAACGTGATTTAGGTTAATCATAATAATGCTTGGTTTAGTTTGGTTTACGGCATATTGACTTCAATGGGTTATTTAATGCCGACAATTTTTATTGCTCCCAATATTTTTTCCATTCAAAAAGCTATTTCTGATATTATTTTTTCAAAATGTATAGCTTGTAATATGTTTTCCAAAAATGTATAGCTGATAATAATTTTTTTTTTTACTTCGAAAACTTATTGCTGGTAATAATTTTTTTTTCTGGTATTAAAACATTTTTACACTTTCATAGTATTTTGACCCCTTTTTTTTGGGGGGTAACTATTTGCCTATAGCTGGGACCCTGCCAGATGCTAGGTTAGGATGGACAGAGGAAGACCAAAAATTAAGAGGCGGTTCCACGCTCCTCAAAACCTCCTGATCAGAGGCCTTGCTGTCGGATGTAGTTTATCGTCATACCCAGGACAGAATAATGCTAGGAGTTTATTTTTAATTAATTGTATTGATTTTAAAATAAATTTTATTAATTTCCTCTCATTTTTGTACTATATTCATTCATCTCGTATTTGTGTCGCACACTGTTTCACCATAAATTTAATAAGACCGGAAACGGAAATTATCTGACCCTATTTTAAACGCAGGAGATTCGTCTATCCGAACACTTTCAGTACGTTCTATTCTGGGGAAATTATATTCATTTTTCTTTTATTAAAACGGTCTTTCTCAGATTTCAATCATAAAGAACCTGTTGGTTTATATGCACTGAACCCGTTGTTTAATATGAAGTCTTTTTTTATATTATTTTTCTTTATATTTCCAGTTTGTTTTGCCAAATATTTTTGTGGTCTACATTCTGTCTGGTAGACACGTGCTTCTAAAATCTAATTGAAAAAAAAAAACACGATAAAGTTAAATTTTAAAAAAAAAGCGTTCATAAGAATAACGTAATCACGTTTGGTCTCGGTAACAGATTTTGTTGAAATAAAATTATTTTATAAAAAGCTGATCGGTAATGTACGTCAAAATAAATGTTTTGCAAATTCTCTTATATTTACCATTCCCTCGGATTCACACACACACCCACACACACGCGCGCACAGAGTGAGAGAGAAAGGTGGAGCTTATGGACACGTCACGTTGAAACACCGGTTTCCGTACGATCACCGAAGTTAAGCAACGCAGAGCTTGGCCAATTCCATGATGGGCAACCGCTTCGGGATATCAGGTGCTGTAAGCTCGGATTTGCGTGCAGTGTACTGGATTACGGCTCACAATTGTTAATCGGTGAGACGGGTTTCAATTCCTGTTGGGTTCGTTACTTTTACTTACCTTCTTGAGAAAAATTGAAATCAATCTCTTATCTCCATGCTATGGGATAATTAGTAAGAATTGTATCACTAAATCTATTATGTCAAAAAAATTCTTACAATCTTAAAATATCATCTGGCTTTAAATAACCTGAAAATGGTTGGCAAGCCGTAGAAAGCAAAAAATCAGTCAATCACACACACACACACACACAGACATACACTATAAACCACGCTTTGGATCTAATAATAAAAAAAACAGTTTCATACTTTCTTTGGTTTAATAAAATCTCTTTTTTTTAATCAGTTCACCACAAGAAAGCCTATATTGCCACTAAGACGCAATGGGCTACTGGGAGCTACTTTTCCCTATCCCTTGTCGTTCTCAATATGTTTTGTCCTTTTTCTATTTGACCCAACCCCTGTTCTGTCATCCACCTGCTTAAGCCCACTGGGTATGTCACTCGTTGATTTCTCTTGTCTCTCTTTCCCTCTGTCCACCCTGGGAGTATCAGATTCTCCAAGCCCACCTTTCTTATTACGCGTCCCAGAAATTTCAACTGCCTCTTCCTGATGTTAAGTATAAGCTTTCTCCTTGTTTGCATCTTCTCCAAAACTTCATCGTTCCTCACATATTCGTTCCATGTTATCCTTAGTATCCTTCTGTAGAGCCATACTTCCGTTGCTTCCAGTCTCTTCATCGTCTTTGAGAAGACCGTCCAACATTCGCTGTTATAAAGGAGTTGGTGTTCATTTAAACTCTGTGTTTTAAGTTGTGGTACTGATGTTAAATTCGAGCTTTAAATATTCTTCTTTCAATATCCCAGTTTTCCTGTTTTTGTCGTTTTCGCTTATGCACATAGAAGCAAAGATTATACGAGATGAAATGATAATTTCTGTGCGAGTCTGGTTTTACCGGCTTCTCTTGAATTTCACTTCTGCTTTTCACTGTCTCTTTACGTCTCTTGATATCATCTGATTCAGACTTTGGTTTTATCTCATCAAAATGAAGGCCTCCTTTGTCGATGCGTAAAACATCGGAACCATTTCTGTGGGCATTCCCAGAAAGCATCGTCTTCTGCTTGGGCGGTTGACTCTTCGAATCGGTCGGCTCGATGATGTGCCATTTTGATAATGCTCACCGACCGTTCACTAGTGTTGTCCGGAATTGAATCAGTGCCGTCGTCCCGAGCATTTCGCCTTGGTGCTCGCGTTCAATTTCCGCTCTTTCTTTTCTGTCATTTTCTGAAGAAGTGGGTTAATAACAGGCGACATCTTATCAAAAACCATCTGCAAAAGTGCGTCGATGTCTACTTTACATTCAGACGGACGAAAACATTTTATTCTCTAAAAGCTTTTGATTTTAACGCCCGATATATTCGCAATACAAACGAATATTTTGTCTATATAAAATTATAAGGCGATCTGCTAATGTGTTTTTTTTTTTAATTTAATTCTTTGGGACATCTATTCCAGAGAACTATCTCTTTGCGTCGACAAGTCTGACATAGATCGATCATTTTTTACATTAATAATGTTTTTAAAACGTCTGAAAAGGATGTGAAAATATGCGAGCTAAAGGCTGGCCACCTTGAATAAAATTAATATAATCTAGAAATTTTATCAACCAGCCAAACTCAAACGGGGATTCTTTCGCGCCACTATAGTGTCGGTTTTAATGTATGGTGCTACTGCTTGGATATTAGCTAAGATCCTTCAGTCTAATCATGATGGAACCTACAGCCGGATGCTGAGAGATATACTTATCATCTCTAGGAGACAATACCCATCTAAATCACAGCTCTATAGAACAATCGCTGGTATTTGTACAATCTTACGTGAAAGGAGAATGCGATTTGCAGGACGCTGCTGGTGAGGGAAACAGGAACTTGCAAGTTATCTAATGATCTGGTTACGCTACCATTGCCCACCGACGACCTAAATTAACCAACTATATTATGTCCTTAATACAGGACAGTGATGGTTGAATATCCGAACTAGTCCGACCGAATAAAACATATAAAAATGTTTTTACCAGATTTGCTTTATTACGTTTGCTTCATGTGTTTGTTAAATGTTACAAAATGGAGGCGTTTACGTCTTAATGCATTTCTCAAAAGCATTCGACAATTCTTGGTAAAATGAAACTACGATCATTTGATTAAGCCTTGAACAGCTGGAAATAGTTGACACGCCAAACCGATAAGTAAACGAGAAAGTTAATTTGAAAAGGACAGCTTTTATGTTTATATTCATCATTTATACGAGTGTATATAAAGGGTGTCGCAAAAGTCATGAAGGGATTTCAAAATTTAATAACTTTATTTTCATAACTTTCATTCAGAATACCATAGTACTTTATATAATGTACATCGAAAATAAACTTACACTAGTGGAAAGGATTACAAGTGGCGTCCATTTTCAGCTTGGCAGGGACATGGGTACGACTATATTATGATATCTACCGAGGCATTTGCAACATACCGTAAAAGATGATGCACTCATTATTGCAGGAAAATGGCCAGGAAAAACGATGAATTGTTTACTGTTTTTTAAAATTTAGAATCATTAAAATCACTATCTCTATATTTCTGAGATGAGGTATTATCTACACTATTTACATTATTCCGTCTATTGTCCTCATCTTTTTTGCCATATTTATTACAACGTTTCGGCCGTTGTACGCTCCGGCCTTCTTCAGGTGGTTGGAATGTCGAACTTAACCCTTTATTTCGCTCACTGGGGTAGACTGTTCTTTTTCCAGGTGCCATGTCTAATGGATATCAGTTATCAGTTATCTCCCGCTTAATTCTCTCTCCAAGTTATCCACCGCCTTAACCAGGTATTGAACTCATATTCCTTGGGTCCTGTCACTGGATCTAACTAACGCCTTTATCCACTAAGCCATGTGTCCTTGAGAAATTAAAATCACTATTTGATCGATTTTTTAATTTTTTCTTCAAATTATTGTTAATCATATTTAATACATAACCAGTTCACTGTTCGCTGCCTTTAATCTTAACCCTAACACTATATCCTAACCCTAATCCTTAATCCTATCTCCTAACCTCAACCCTAACCACAACCCTAACCTCTAACCTAATCCTAAAAGTAATCCTAACATATTTCATACTTCCAACAGTTAGTAAGTATCATACCATAGTAGAAAATGAATAGTAGATATGCTCTTGTGGAATATGGACGGTAGATAGCATACAATATTAGTACCCGAATACGTCCATTCTAAGCCATTTCCATCGCAGCCCTCAGTGTTTTAGGGTCTAGTACTTTGATGTCTGAATGTTGTCCTTCATTTGTTGGAAAGTATGAGACTTTCTGAGATAAACTATTTTGGTGGGAGCGGATAATCGCATGTCAGATACGGGGAAAATGATGGCTAGTTTTTGCTGCAAGCGAGAGAAATGGTACCTTTCACCAAAATTTCCCTGAGAAGCTGGATTGTGGCCCTTCTCGTATGAACTGTTGCCCAATCTAGTTGTAAAGAAAAAAATCGTTGGAGAGACGGCTTCGAATTGATGCGCTCGAATATTCTTGGATACACTCCTTTCCTCGCTCAAATACTCCTCCGTTCCTAGTCGAAAGCGATCTATAACTTCCTGGAAGATCAATACTTGGAAAATCTTGCATAATGGAGACGATATCCTCATTGAGTTTGAATTATTGATCCTTAGATTTGGTAGAAATTTCATCACTTTTGTTTCTTTTGCAATCATGGGGTTTTACATGATTAATTTACAAAGCCTTCTTTATAAAATAACTGAAATAAAATTAAGAACATATTAAGAAACAAAAATATATTAAATTTACTGACCCCTTGGTGACGTTTGGCATACTCTGTATACATAACATATTTAAAAAACTATAAATAGTACGTTAACTATTTAGATAATAAAGAAATAAAGGAAAATATCAATAAAACCAATGTTAGGTTCCTAAAAGCAATAGTTTTTAACAGACTCAGAAAACTTTGACTAATAAATGTACAATGGAGATTTGTATTATTCACACCCAAGTGTCATAATTTTTGTTTCTTTTCTCTTTGAGATATATACGGGACAGACATAGGAGTGTCTTTGATTTGTTCTTCCAACTTTTTGCGTAGCATCACGAATTCTATAATTTATAATTAGTCATTTAGACTCGCATGAAAGAATATTGCCCATATCGTCGGCAATATTTTAAATCATCACTTGCTATTTACTGCACTCCAGTTAAACTGATAAGGCCCATTCTTCTTCTTCTTATAATGTGCTTTAGAAATTTCAACTTTCTCTTTCTGAATTTAAGTAAAAGTGTTCTTTTTCTTTCCATTTTCTCTAAAACTTCGTCGTTGCTCATGTGTTCAGTTCATGGTATTTTCAGGATACTTCTCTAGAAACATATTTCTATCGCTTCACCTTTCTTCATCATCTGTGCGGAGCATTCAATGGCGTATCGGAGGAGTGACAGTATGTAACATAAGCGCAATTAAAATAAATGAAAAGTCTGTAATTCAATTGTTAGCTTTATAGATTATAAAGAAAAACTCATCAGGTATTTTAATATTTAGTATTTTTAATTTAACAGATCCTTCACAACAATTACGGGAGAAATATGTATTTTTGATCGAATAAGTTTTCAACTGTTTTCTTATAGTGGATGTTAACGGAAAATAATAATTCTTAACCTTTCCGTTTTGGAGAATTGGGTTCAAGTTTTTAATTACGAAGTAAACGACAACCGGATTTTGAATTCCATTTACCAATTCTCTTGGCACAAGCCGCAGGAGACTGGTCTGTATTTGTCTCTATAAACACCTGTATGTTAGTCGCTAAATATAAACTTGACAGTATATAATAATTGAATTCATTTGACGTGAATAATTAAATCAAGCGATATAATATTTACTCATTTTTTTTATTTACGAGAAAACATTATTTCTATTCTTTCATGCGCTAGACCACCTCATAAAGTGTTCAATCATGGCTCTCTACACTTTTCTTTCTTTTGTTGCTCTAAGTACTTTTCGTTTCTTTAACATTATACTTCATACTTATTCTGTTATTAATTCTCAGAAATTCGTTAAGTCGTTTACTCGCTGTTTCTATTGATTCTTTTGCTTTCAATATGGTCGCTGAGTGTTATATACTTTACACTTTTGCCTCATTATGTGTCATGGAAAAAGCTAACTGTTTTAAACTGAGTGTAAATATAAATTCCCATGTTATTCCGAGTTCCCACAAAAAAATTCTCCGTCCATACATCATGTGTCTACTGTATTTGTTGTAGTCATCAGTACATACGTGTTTCTATTTCTTCAAATATGAATTGAGATTAGGGACCTGGCTGAGAAAGCCTCTGAAATGACGGAAATCATCTGACTGAAAAAAAAAACCCTTTAAAATGATTGAAATGACCGACTACACTATATCATTCTTATCAAGAATGATATAGTGTCTTCTTATCAAGAGGATGAAAAGCATTACAAGCCAGGCCGTGCAAGTCACGATCAGAATGGAACATTTAGAATAAGAAAAGAAAAATAGTAATCATTTGTAAAGTGTGAGGCTATAATTAACTTCAGATCTCTCTATTTAATTACTATATCCATGCGAAAATAACTTAATACGCGTATACCAATTATCATCGATTTGCAATCGATTTTGCAATTGATCCAAATCGTGTTGAGTCCATCTCCCTTCCGATAATGAAAAGGTCAGTTATTCACTTCCGACATAGAGAAACAGAGAGAGAGGGTGAGAGAGAGAAACAGAGAAAATCAAGAGACAGAGAAGAGACAAGAAAAAAGAGAGAGAAGGAATCATTATGTGAGGGATAAGAATATTTGAATGTATACATGCTTGTGTGACGTGTTTATTCAACGGAAGTGATGTCTTCGTTGACTTGCTTGAATGATTCCTTTCATGATACGTTTGCTAACACGCCCTCGCGTACGCACGCACTTCGTGTTTATATATATATATATATATATATATATATATATATATATATATATATATATATATATCGAAATGAGTTCTCTCAGTCACTGTGTTTATCTAAAAATAAATACGCTTAAATTCACCTTCATCATCCCTGCCGTGTGCCAACGGATTAGTAGTAAAATCTCCGACTGATGACAATTCAGTCCCGTTTCCAACCTAGCTAGAGGCAACCGGACGTCTAGCCACACTGATGAGCTACAATACAGTGAAGCAGTCCTTCTGTGGATGACAATATATATATATATATATATATATATATATATATGTGTGTGTGTGTGTGTGTGTGTGTGTGTGTGTGTGTGTGTGTGTGTGTGTGTGTGTGTGTGCGTGCGTTTTTGGTTTGGGAATATATATATATATATACTCAGATCAACATACAAATCTACGGGTTTGTGTTTCCATTGAATTAGATAAACTAGAAGGATGGTACAGGAATAATTAATAAATTTAAGAACTGATTGGAACGTTAATTTGTGTTCTTTTTCTTATGTATAGCCAAAACATTATTTAATTTTAATCTAATTATGTACTGGGTGCAAATCGTCTACATAAACATAAAACATCTATTGGACAATTACACAAATATAGCAAGATGCAGAAAAAAGGATGCGATTTCTCGCTTGATATATTTAATATTTTTCTATCTTCTCCCCAAACTTATTCAACCTTTATAGCAATCAGATTCTAGATGTTCCACCAGGATTTATTACTTATAAATAATAATATAAGTATATATAAGTATATATGATATGCCGACGACACCATGTTGATAATATTTTATTGATAAATAATAATAATTATAATAATAATAATAATAATAATAATAATAATTATAATAATAATAATTATTATTATTATTGTCATTGTCATTATTATTATTATTATTATTATTATTATTATTATTATTATTATTTCCTTTTATTTCTGTTGTATACACATTTCCATCCGGTTTCCAACCAGAAACCTAAGGTCAGAAATGACTTCATGACATTTTCCACTGATTAAAACAAAGTTCACACACAGTTAAACCTCTTCATAATGTGAGTACATTTTTTGGTATTTTTAAGGCATTGACTACCAGGAATCCCTATAATGAGTCTAGCGGACCCTTTTCCAATCAATCCAAGAGCTTCAACTATAACTGAAATTATTGATGTTCTCATGTTCTGAATTTCTGAAATTTCTGTTTCAAGATTCTTGTAATTTGAAAGTGTTTTTTTAAGATCTTCAAAAATACATTACATTTGCCATATCAATAAGAAAGAACATTCTATGTTTGTGGTTTTTGATTAAAATGTCTGGGCGATTAACTTTGATTGTTCTGTCTGTGTGTATTGTGAAGTCCAATAAAATTGTTACAAGTCTTATCTCTGTAACCAATTTGGGTGAGATTTATACAAGTTTCTTGCAGTTTCCTTCATATAACAGTTGCATATTTTCCAGTGCAGATATTGGCCAACTCTATCCTGCCGAGTTTCTATTCAGTTGGTTCCAACACTCTGCAACCTGATACAAGATGGTCAATTGTTTCTGAATATTTATAACAGAATTTTCATTTAGGGTCAAATCAATTATTATTATTATTATTATTATTATTATTATTATTATTATTATAGGATCCTGAAGCGAGTTTGGGCATATTAAGCAGACGTATTTTAATTTGATGCCTGCTGTAAACCAATTTTAATAAACAAATAATGATACTCAATGGAAAATAAAGATCAAAATAATCATGTATATACAATTATGTATATAATCATTTTCATCTATCGGTTGTGTACCTTCAGGATGTGGGCGATCGTGGCTTTCCACCACCTCCTTCCCCTTCTAGCATTTAGAAACGATTTTCTCTTTATCATATCGCCCAACTGCCTTTCAAAATCAATTCACACAATCTCGTCATGTAGGTGGAGAGAAGTCTTCCTCTGTCCTTTTGCCATCCTTAGATTCTGTAAGGACCAAATTCTCTAAAACGTACCTCCCGGGCCTTGTATAGGGTGAGCTTTACGTTAAAAAATATTCTTCGCCATTTCTTCGCTGCTTCTCAACTACCATTCTGTTGCCTTCTGTTTTCTCTTCATTTGTGTGGAAATGGCATTCACTGACATACAAGAGGCTTGATATTGCATAACAACTCAGTACTCTTTTCTTTGTTTCTAACGAAATTTTCCTGTTTATAAGTATGTTGCTTAGTTTTTGTAAGGTATCTTTTGCTATTCCAATGCGTCATGGGATTTCGGTGTCGCATACAGAAAAATAAATGTAATAGCGAAAATAATGACGTTCATAGATTAGGTCTTAAAATACAGTGTAACCCGAACATAAGAGAGTTGTCGGGACCGGAGAAGAAGTCTCTTATATCCGGGTTTCTCTTATATCCGGGTTTGGTCTATTTTGTTTAGGTAAATATGGCTCTAATTTGGGACGAGAGAAAATCTCTCTTATATCTGGGTTTCTCTTATATCCGGGTCTTTTATATCCGGGTTACACTGTAAATCGGGATGTGTAGGCTATCTGATTACTTTTCTTTTCCATCCAGCGTAAACCATTTCACAAAAATGATAAAATGAACATTGTTCATTCGAGGAAAGGGGTTAAAAATCATGTTACTTCGTTTAATGAATAAATTGTAATTAACTCTAGAACACTAAGCATCAATTAAAATTATACCACTACTATACGGTTTTGAAAATATCAAAAAAAAAAAAAATCTTTATTTGAAATATGTTACATGCAGGCACTTCAAAATTTTACTTTGAGTTAACATTAATAGGAACTGAAAAAGATATTATTTAGGTAAAAAAATCTGGTACTGAAAATTGGAATTAAAAATAGAAAAATTTGCGCTGGGTACTACATACCCATGGTTAGTTCTCTAGCGTTAAACATTTTTTCTTATCCTAAAATAGAGTATTACTTATAAGATGGCCTTTTATAATGGACTGAAATGCTATAATCTATGGTAGTAAATATGGCAATATTAGACGTTTCCTTAAAAGGAAATATTCAGCAATCATTAACCGAGCAGCAAGTTAAAAACTTAAAAACCTATAAAACATTTTTCTTAAAAGATATTTTTACAAGATAATAGACATCTCAAGTTCAGTAGCTGTTGACAGTGTTTCCAGTATTGATGTATCTTTGCCTCGTAAACTTTTATAAAATGGAGTCAACGTCTATTCATATTTTCTGTTTGAGTTACAGATGTTATGCATTGTAGTTATACCTGTTGCTAAAAATCTTCAAGTGGTTTCTGCTACTTAGTATACTTTGTGGTTCTGTAGTGTCAGTTCACAATGCAGTATGAAGGATGGTTTTTGGCAAGACCCACAGGCCTCAACCATTGAAAGGTATTTTTTTAACAATAGATTATTTGTATACAGCTAACAGTTACGATATTTCTCAACGGGTTTGATAATAATATTAAAGTCTCGATTACATGTCTATTGATGTGTATCTCGACTTTTCAGCTTAATGTCTTGCATTTGTATTAATTTGAGTTGTTTAGAGTCCTATGTTCAATTTCCTTATAACCAATATTAAATGTGTTATTACTGATTCATATGTCGATGTATTTGAAGTATACAGTATTTACTAGTTCTGCATCCTTATTTTTTTTTTTACGAAGGATCCAGGGAAGCTGCCTTCACTGATGTAAATATTTGAAAACAAGTTTATAGATTTCCGTATAAGAAGGAATATTTTCTTTAAGTATTACATTGTTGAGATACTGTTGCCGCAAAGGTTTATTAATTCCAAAAACGATTGAGAGCCAATGAGGATTTTCTTTAAAGTAAAGGCTAAACGCCAATTCCCACATCGTAGAAGTTATCAAATAATCGCAAAAGGTTGTAGCCCATCATATATTTCTTAATGGCTGGTGAGTTTCTCGAGAAACTTTGCTTTTAGCGCAAAAGAAGGTGGACGTTAGAGGAGCTCCGAAAATAAGTGATGTCAAAATAGCAATTTTTTTTAACGACCTAACTTCAAAAACGCTATAAAAGTGGCGTATATTAACCAGGAAACCTCGAGGGAGTTAACAGGCAATTGACATCTGAGAGAAAATATCCTCAAATATATAAAATATATATATATATATATATATATATATATATATATATATATATATATATATATATATATATATATATATATATATATATATATATATATATATATACACACATACACATATATATATATATATATATATACCTTGTGTAAATTTTGCATATCGAAGAAAAAGTAGGTTTATAGTTATAGACAGTGTGGATACGGAAATCCTCAGTGTATATCGACTTTTACAGCACGACTGATCAGACTGTGGTTTCTCTCTCATAAAGCCGGGCGTAGGTTCGAATCTTGCCGGAGGCATATTTTCTCAATTTTTTTTAGGCCGGATGACGTAATATATTCTATTTAAAATAAATAATAGTAAATTCAAACGTCTACTCAGCTAAAAGTATGCACCCAAAATTAATTTCAAAGGAATAATAATATAAGGAATTAAAAATAAAATCCATTAATTACATATATGTTTGTTTCTCTGTGTGTGTGTGTATGAGTATATATGTATGTATGCATATGTATACATATGTGTGTGTGCGTGCGTGCGTGTATGTGAACGATAAATATATATATATATATATATATATATATATATATATATATATATATATATATATATATATATATATATATATATAATCAAAACCTCAAGGAATGTAAATAAAAAAATATAAAAATTACGAGTACAAAAGAGATCTTATACAAATCAACATACTCAGTACAGTATTTGCTCACTTTAATCTGGCCATATTTTTTGAAAAAAATGCTATTCTAATTAAAAGAGAAAGCAGTTTAATATAAATAAAGTGCTTTAATCACTAATTTACTCCCAGTTTCTTACAGTATTTCGCCTTATATTATCTCTATGTGAGATATTTAATAACGAGAGATAAAAGCAAAAAGAAACTAAATGAAATCGACGAGACTGCATATCCAAAACATATACATTAAAATCATGGTCAGCGTCCCCTCTCTTTGTCCGCACGCAACATGAACATCTCATGTTTTGATAAAATCCTAAATGACGAAACGCGTCACACGAAATTTTTATCGATTTTGTCATAGATTCATTAATCTATCTATCTATCTATCTATCCAAGTTTGATTAAAAAGTACGGATAAATTGCTGTTTAATTTTTTATGTATTATTCAAATTTCGATTTTTTATATAAGGGGTTGAATATTGTGGTTGGAAACAAAAAATACAATAAATAGTGAGAAATTGGTTCATTTTAATAAAATTTATTTTATAAATACTATATATATATATATATATATATATATATATATATTCATTTTAACAAAAGTTATTTAATAAATACTTTATATATATATATATATATATATATATATATAGCAAGTATGCTTTCGGATTTAGGAAATCATCTGCTTGACTCTCAAGAGTCAGTATATATATATATATATATATATATATATATATATATATATATACTAATATATAGGCACCACATAAGTAGATCTTACACAGATAACCATTTAAAGAAATTAACAACACTCAAAAAACAAATATCTCTGGGCGAAAGCGTTTAGGGCAATAGACAGTACGGATGATGTTTACCCCACCAAACATTAAAAAAAATCTTAGAATATTAATCTCCATAATGTCTTTCGAAGCACATATCTGCTAACACTTATTTTCGTATTCGAAATGTAAAGGGTGTAATTTCTAAGGAACTAATGGATTTTTAATCCGTTAATATTTCTGTTTATTATTTTATTCGGCCGATTTAGTATTGGACTTTCCTGAAATCACGGGCCAGCATTAAGGTCAGAAAGTCTACAATTACGTTAACATGCTGTGTCTCTCCATACTTGGTCAATGTAGGTGGTTGGTAGGCGACCAACCCGTCTTGCGCTATGGATCCTTCGTTTGCCTCTCAGCATTGTCCTGTAAAACGCATTCTGCATTCACGTAGGATTGCTCAAATATCATGGATTGTTCCATAGACTTGTGATTTAGTTGAATGTTGTTTTCAAGAGATGTTAAGTATAGCTCTCAGCATCCGAATGTCGGTTCCATCTAGCAGTGACATCATACATTAAAATCGATTTTACAGTGGCGCGAAAGATCTTCTGTTTGAAGTGGTCTGGTAGCTCGGATTTCCAGATTACATCCATTTCCGTCAATGTGGCTAACGTTTCAGCTACGAGAATTTTCACATGCTTTTCGGGAGAATTTATTTCACTTCAGAGGTATGCAAAAGATTTGACAGATTTTATTGATTCATCTGAAACAGTTTGTATTGGTTGAGGCTTATCAATTCAGTTTCAGTGCATTGACTTAGACCAACATATTTAGCGGCATTGTCTAGATGATGTAAGAGAGCTATGGGAGTGGTAATGATGTCTATAAGGATAGCTAGGTTATGTGCATAGTCAATAACGGGCAACTTTTTGGCAGGATATCGACCTGAGGGTATCGGTGATGAATTAAAATCTAGATGATGATGTCTATCAAATGGAATCCTCAATACATTGTCCCGTGTGATAACAAAGAGAAAAGTTGCAAGAGTTTCAGAACCCCTACTTTAATGTCGAATAATTGACGTCTACCAACCCGTATTCTCTCTCTCTCTCTCTCTCTCACTGTCCATCTCTCTGTCTGTCTGCCCCCCTTTCTCTCTCTTGATATATATATATATATATATATATATATATATATACACACATACATACATACATACACACACGTACGTACATACATACATACATACATACATATATATATATATATATATATATATATATATATATATATATATATATATATATATATAAAAATTCCTTCCTGCCGTACCCTGATAGCTTAGGGTAGTGACTTTTGACTAACGCTAGATCTATCTACTGTGTTTACAGTCATCGGATGGCTCACAACACTAACGACCTGTGATACAACGAAACAGTCTGCATACACACATACATATATATACACACACACACACACATATATATATATATATATATATATATATATATATATATATATATATATATATATATATATATATATATATACAATCCCTCTTATATACAAGTTGGAAATACCTTTTCAGAAAAGCCCCTTATTCATTTGACTACTGCAAATTTGTATCTGCTACCAACAGTTTCGTAACCGAAAATTTTGAAAGGATTTTTTTTCATCCGACATTATTTCTCATCACTAGTTTATGGTGATAAAATTTGATCGAGGGAACAAATATGTTCTTTTAGATTGCGAGAAAGTTAGTTGATTTGGTTATTTTCTTATTTGGACTCAGTTATACTCTGTTAGAATTAGCATATCGAAAATAGCTTATCGTCAAGCGAATCGAATTTGGCTCTGGTTGGCCTTGTGCCTTGTTTCAAATTTAATCTTTACATACTCATATGTAAATATGAAAATTGCTGCGTAAGTATATAGAGGTTTATGCAAATATATGACACGAAAATAGGTTGAATTTGAACAGTGAATAGACGACTGTAAATCTCTGCAGGTATTTTAACGTTCCCAATGTCTCCCTCGACACTATCTCCCGAAATTAGTCCAGCAAGAAATAGATAAAATTCCTATCATATTTATTTTCATTTCGACGAAACATTTTACGTCTTAAAACCTAATTCATATATATATATATATATATATATATATATATATATATATATATATATATATATATATTATATATATGACAATAAGAAAAACGACAATTTATCCTCTCTTACTCCAACCAGAAGGAAAAATAGGAAAAATATGAGAACGTATAAAAAAAATAATTAAATTTCTTTATCTCACATCTTCAACGAAACATGTTTGAAAAAATATTTATATAATATATATATATCTATATATATATATATATATATATATATATATATATATATATATATATATATATATATATATATATATATATATATATATTATAAGTGTATGTATGAAGTGTTCAAGCCTTCCGTAATTTGAGTAAATGGTCTCTTTTTTAAAAATTAAACTATATTAATTACATTTACCGGCCTGTATATTCGAGAAATTTCGTAGAAAATATGCATTCTCCAAGAGGAATCGAACGTGCATCCTATACGGAACCGTCATTAATTAACATAATACATACATATATTTGGGTGGGGGCGCGCGCGCGCGCGCGCGTGTGTGTGTGTGTGTGGAGGCACACAAGCGTTGACCCGAAAGTAACGTCCTTATTTTGTTGGCCGTCGACGCCAGCGGTTGATGTTAATGGTGTCACAGTAGTGGTTGGACTTTTCCGCCTATAGCCTTTTTCACTTGTAATATGATATTAGCAGACCCCGTGCCGTTCTAAACAGTATGGATGCAAATTTTGACAGGATTGTCCTACGATACACACGCTATTGTATAGATTTGGCGCCTTCGGATTTTCAGTTGCACCAGACGCGCAAAGATGAAGGATGGGCACCGTCGACAACATGTCGCCTCCAGAGACTTAAAATAGAGTAGAAAACACAGATAAAAACAAAAATCTTAACGTTCTGGAAATTGTGATCCCAGACGAAAATAAGACTACACCTGACTCAGACTCTAAGAAAAACAATAACCTGAAAATATCACCAGCTGAATGAATTTCAGTGGGAGGAGAATGTTGTTTCTGAATAATGATTCAATGCCATTCATTTAAAGAAAGATGGCGTCTTTTTTTTTTTTTATGAAAGTTATGATCGCTAACATTCTCAGGCATGTTCCTCAGAATATTGCCGATCATGACTCTCCACGAACTTTCCTTTGTAGCTCTTAATAAATGTTATTTTTTTGTTATTTTTTTAAACCTGTTCCGCTAACCATTTACTCAGCTCACTAAGTATATTATGCTTTGTTATCCACTGTCCGTCTTCGCTTCAATCTGTCTTGTGCGTATCAGATTTTCCAAGCCGTCCTTTCTCATTATGTGTCCTCGAAATTGCAACTGTCTCTTCTTGATTTTAAGTATAAGTTTCCGTATTGTTTCAATTTTCTCAAAAACTTCACCGGTGCCCACAAGATGGTTCATGGTATCCTCAGAGTCGATCCGCAGAACCACATTGCTGATGCTTCAAGCCTCTTTGCCATATTGTAGAACACGTAAAATTTTAGTACTCTTCTCTTGTTTTTACTATTGCTGAAAATGATGGCAGGATCGTGTCTAGAGTCAATATATATCACGTAGCTCAGGACATTAATATAGCTGCTATATTTCTTAATAAATATTTGAAGTTGAAGTTCATTAAAAGTAAACAGTATACTCAAAGCCTTCTTTCCTCTTAATGTATTTCTTTGCATTTCTGCTGTCCCTTTTTGATTTCAATACGATTTCCATTTAATTCTTATTTTCCCGTCATTGGTATCGAAGAATATCTCATCCATCAAATAATTCATTATAAGTGAACATGTTTCTCCCTTCATTTCTCACCGTTATAAAAGAGTATCTCACACTTTCAAGACATTCAGTATAAATGAGCATCATCCAGTCGTTATGCCACTTCGTTATGAGTGAGCATCAAATACTCTTCATGACACTTCGTTATCAAGGAGCATAATTCATACATCATGTCACTTCGTTAGGAGTGAGCATCATTCACTCTTTATGTCATTTCGTTAGGAGTGGGCATCATTCACTCTTCATATCACTTCGTTATGAGTGAGCATCATTCACTCTTTATGTCACTTCGTTAGGAGTGGGCATCATTCAATCTTTCTGTCACTTCCTTAGGAGTGAGCATCATTCACTCTTTATGTCACTTCGTTAGGAGAGGGCATCATTCATACTTTATGTCATTTCGTTAGGAGTGAGCATCATTCACTCTTTATGTCACTTCGTTAGGAGTGAGCATCATTCACTCTTCATGTCACTTCGTTAGGAGTGAGCATCATTCACTCTTTATGTCACTTCGTTAGGAGTGGGCATCATTCACAATTTATGTCACTTCGTTAGGAGTGAGCATCATTCACTCTTTATGTCACTTCGTTAGGAGTGAGCATCATTCACTCTTCATGTCACTTCGTTAGGAGTGAGCATCATTCACTCTTTATGTCACTTCGTTAGGAGTGGGCATCATTCACTCTTTATGTCACTTCGTTAGGAGTGGGCATCATTCGCTCTACATATCACTTCGTTAGGGGTAAGCATCATTCACTCTTTATGTCACTTCGTTAGGAGTGGGCATCATTCACTCTTTATGTCACTTCGTTAGGAGTGGGCATCATTCACTCTTTATGTCACTTCGTTAGGAGTGGGCATCATTCACTCTTTATGTCACTTCGTTATGAGTGAGCATCAATCACTCTTTATGTCATTCGTTAGGAGTGAGCATCATTCACTCTTCATGTCACTTCGTTAGGAGTGAGCATCATTCACTCTTTATGTCATTTCGTTAGGAGTGAGCATCATTCACTCTTCATGTCACTTCGTTAGGAGTGAGCATCATTCACGCTTTATGTCACTTCGTTAGGAGTAGGCATCATTCACTCTTTATGTCACTTCGTTATGAGTGAGCATCATTCACTCTTTATGTCACTTCGTTATGAGTGAGCATCATTCACTCTTTATGTCACTTCGTTAGGAGTGAGCATCATCCACTCTTCATGTCAGTTCGTTAGGAGTGAGCATCATTCACTTTTATGTCACTTCGTTAGGAGTGGACATCATTCACTCTTTATGTCACTTCGTTATGAGTGAGCATCATTCACTCTTTATGTCACTTCGTTATGAGTGAGCATCATTCACTCTTCATGTCACTTCGTTATGAGTGAGCATCATTCACTATTCATGTCACTTCGTTAGGAGTGAGCATCATTCACTCTTCATGTCACTTCGTTAGGAGTGAGCATCATTCACTCTTCATGTCACTTCGTTAGGAGTGAGCATCATTCACTCTTCATGTCACTTCGTTAGGAGTGAGCATCATTCACTCTTTATGTCACTTCGTTAGGAGTGAGCATCATTCACTCTTCATGTCACTTCGTTAGGAGTGAGCATCATTCACTCTTTATGTCACTTCGTTAGGGGTAATCATTCACTCTTTATGTCACTTCGTTATGGTGAGCATCATTCCTCTTTATGTCACTTCGTTATGAGTGAGCATCATTCCTCTTCATATCACTTCGTTATGAGTGAGCATCATTCCTCTTCATGTCACTTCGTTATGGTGAGCATCATTCCTCTTCATGTCACTTCGTTAGGAGTGAGCATCATTCATTCTTTTATGTCACTTCGTTAGGGTGTGAGCATCATTCTCTCTTCATGTCACTTCGTTAGGGTGAGCATCATTCACTCTTCATGTCACTTCGTTAGGGTGAGCATCATTCACTCTTTATGTCATTTCGTTAGGGTAGGCATCATTCAATCTTCATGTCACTTCGTTAGGAGTGAGCATCATTCACTCTTCATGTCACTTCGTTGGGTGAGCATCATTCACCCTTTATGTCATTTCGTTGGGGTGAGCATCATTCACTCTTCATGTCACTTCGTTAGGAGTGAGCATCATTCACTCTTCATGTCACTTCGTTGGGGTGAGCATCATTCACTCTTCATGTCACTTCGTTAGGGGGGCATCATTCACACTTTATGTCACTTCGTTATGAGTGAGCATCATTCACTCTTTATGTCACTTCGTTATGGTGAGCATCATTCCTCTTTATGTCACTTCGTTAGGGTGAGCATCATTCACTCTTCATGTCACTTCGTTAGGAGTGAGCATCATTCACTCTTTATGTCACTTCGTTAGGAGTGAGCATCATTCACTCTTCATGTCACTTCGTTAGGAGTGAGCATCATTCACTATTCATATCACTTCGTTATGAGTGAGCATCATTCACTCTTCATGTCACTTCGTTATTAGTGAGCATCATTCACTCTTTATGTCATTTCGTTAGGAGTGGGCATCATTCACTCTTCATATCACTTCGTTATGAGTGAGCATCATTCACTCTTTATGTCACTTCGTTAGGAGTGAGCATCATTCACTCTTCATGTCACTTCGTTAGGACTGAGCATCATTCACTCTTTATGTCACTTCGTTAGGAGTGGGCATCATTCACTCTTCATATCACTTCGTTATGAGTGAGCATCATTCACTCTTCATGTCACTTCGTTAGGAGTGAGCATCATTCACTCTTCATGTCACTTCGTTATGAGTGAGCATCATTCACTCTTTATGTCACTTCGTTAAGAGTGAGCATCATTAACTCTTTATGTCATTTCGTTAGGAGTGAGCATCATTCACTCTTCATGTCACTTCGTTAGGAGTGAGCATCATTCACTCTTCATGTCACTTCGTTAGGAGTGAGCATCATTCACTCTTTATGTCACTTCGTTATGAGTGAGCATCATTCACTCTTTATGTCATTTCGTTAGGAGTGAGCATCATTCACTCTTCATATCACTTCGTTATGAGTGAGCATCATTCCTCTTTATGTCCTTCGTTGTGAGTGAGCATCATTCACTCTTTATGTCACTTCGTTGGAGTGAGCATCATTCACTCTTCATGTCACTTCGTTAGGGTGAGCATCATTCAATCTTTATGTCACTTCCTTAGGGTGAGCATCATTCAATCTTTATGTCACTTCGTTAGGGTGAGCATCATTCACTCTTTATGTAACTTCGTTAGGGTCATCATTCACTCATTATGTCACTTCGTTATTCAGCATCATTCACACTTTTATGTCACTTCGTTAGGGTGAGCATCATTCACTCTTTATGTCACTTCGTTAGGAGTGAGCATCATTCACTCTTATGTCACTTCGTTAGAGTGAGCATCATTCAATCTTCATGTCACTTCGTTAGGGTGAGCATCATTCACTCTTTATGTCACTTCGTTATGGTGAGCATCATTCATCTTGTCACTTCGTTATTAGTGAGCATCATTCACTCTTTATGTCATTTCGTTGCATCATTCACTCTTCATATCACTTCGTTATGGTGAGCATCATTCACTCTTTATGTCACTTCGTTGGGTGGGCATCATTCAACCTTCATGTCACTTCGTTAGGACTGAGCATCATTCACTCTTTATGTCACTTCGTTATGAGGGCATCATTCACTCTTCATATCACTTCGTTGTGGTGAGCATCATTCCTCTTCATGTCACTTCATCATTCACTCTTCATGTCACTTCGTTACGAGTGAGCATCATTCACTCTTTATGTCACTTCGTTATGGTGGGCATCATTCACTCTTTATGTCATTTCGTTAAGGGAGTGAGCATCATTCCTCTTCATGTCACTTCGTTAGGAGTGAGGCATCATTCACTCTTCATGTCACTTCGTTAGGAGTGAGCATCATTCAACCTTTATGTCACTTCGTTGGAGTTCGAGCATCATTCACTCTTCATGTCATTTCGTTAGGAGTGAGCATCATTCCTCTTTATGTCACTTCGTTAGGAGTGAGCATCAATCCTCTTTTCATGTCACTTCGTTAGGGTGGCATCAATCACTCTTTATGTCACTTCGTTATGAGTTCATCATTCATCTTCATATCACTTCGTTGTGGTGAGCATCATTCACTCTTTATGTCATTTCGTTGGGGTGAGCATCATTCACTCTTCATATCACTTCGTTATGAGTGAGCATCATTCACTCTTTATGTCACTTCGTTAGGGTGGGCATCATTCACTATTCATATCACTTCGTTAGGAGTGAGCATCATTTCACTTTATGTTTCGTTAGGGAGTGGGCATCATTCTTTTATGTCACTTCGTTGGGGTGAGCATCATTCACTCTTCATGTCACTTCGTTAGGGTGAGCATCATTCACTCTTTATGTCACTTCGTTGTAGTGAGCATCATTCACTCTTCATGTCACTTCGTTAGGGCATGAGCATCATTCACTCTTTATGTCACTTCGTTAGGGTGATCATCATTCCTCTTTATGTCACTTCGTTTATGGGTGAGCATCATTCACTCTTTACGTCACTTCGTTAGGGTGAGCATCATTCACTCTTCATGTCACTTCGTTAGGGGTGTGCATCATTCACTCTTTATGTCACTTCGTTAGGGGTGATTCACTCTTTATGTCATCGTTATTCACATCATTCATCTTTATGTCATTTCGTTTGGAGTGGGCATCATTCATATTTCTTTATGTCATTTCGTTAGGGAGTGAGCATCATTCACTCTTCATATCACTTCGTTATGACTGAGCATCATTCACTCTTTATGTCACTTCGTTATGGTGGCATCATTCACTTTCATGTCACTTCGTTATGAGTGAGCATCATTCACTCTTTATGTCATTTCGTTAGGGTGGGCATCATTCACTCTTTATGTCACTTCGTTTCGTTAGGTGAGCATCATTTCATTCACTCTTCATATCACTTCGTTAGGGTGAGCATCATTCACTCTTTATGTCACTTCGTTAGGAGTGGGCATCATTCACTCTTTATGTCATTTCGTTAGGGAGTGAGCATCATTCACTTTCATGTCACTTCGTTAGGATTCATCATCATTCACACTTTATGTCACTTCGTTAGGAGTGAGCATCATTCACTCGTCATGTCACTTCGTTAGGAGTGAACATCATTCACTCTTCATATCACTTCGTTATTATTGAGCATCATTCACTCTTTATGTCATTTCGTTAGGAGTGGGCATCATTCACTCTTCATGTCACTTCGTTAGGAGTGAGCATCATTCACTCTTCATGTCACTTCGTTATGAGTGAGCATCATTCACTCTTCATGTCACTTCGTTAGGAGTGAGCATCATTCACTCTTTATGTCATTTCGTTATTAGTGGGCATCATTCCTCTTTATGTCATTTCGTTGGGTGGGCATCATTCAACCTCTTCATCATTGCACTTCATTGTCACTCTTCATATCACTTCGTTATGGGTGAGCATCATTCACCTCTTTATGTCACTTCGTTGGGAGTGGGCATCATTCACTCTTTATGTCACTTCGTTAGGACTGTGCATCATTCACTCTTTATGTCACTTCGTTAGGAGTGGGCATCATTCAGTCTTCATATCACTTCGTTAGGTGAGCATCATTCCTCTTCATGTCACTTCGTTAGGGTGGGCATCATTCACTCTTCATGTCACTTCGTTATGGAGTGAGCATCATTCCTCTTTATGTCACTTCGTTATGGTGAGCATCATTCACTCTTTATGTCATTTCGTTAGGGTGAGCATCATTCACTCTTCATGTCACTTCGTTAGGGTGAGCATCATTCACTCTTCATGTCACTTCGTTAGGGTGAGCATCATTCTGGTATGTCACTTCGTTAGGGTGGACATCATTCACTCTTTATGTCACTTCGTTATGGTGAGCATCATTCACTCTTTATGTCACTTCGTTATGGTGGGCATCATTCACTCTTCATGTCACTTCGTTATGAGTGAGCATCATTCATCTTCATGTCACTTCGTTAGGGTGAGCATCATTCATTCTTTATGTCACTTCGTTAGGGTGTGCATCATTCCTCTTCATGTCACTTCGTTAGGGAGTGAGCATAATTCACTCTTCATGTCACTTCGTTAGGGCATCATTCACTCTTTATGTCATTTCGTTGGGGTGAGCATCATTCACTCTTCATGTCACTTCGTTAGGGTGTGAGCATCATTCACTCTTCATGTCACTTCGTTGGATGGAGCATCATTCCTCTTTATGTCATTTCGTTAGGGTGAGCATCATTCACTCTTCATGTCACTTCGTTAGGGGTGAGCATCATTCACTCTTCATGTCACTTCGTTAGGGGTAGGCATCATTCACTCTTCATGTCACTTCGTTATGTCATCATTCACTCTTTATGTCACTTCGTTAGGGTGAGCATCATTCACTCTTTATGTCACTTCGTTATGGTGAGCATCATTCACTCTTTATGTCACTTCGTTAGGGTGAGCATCATTCACTCTTCATGTCACTTCGTTAGGGGTGGCATCATTCACTCTTTATGTCACTTCGTTAGGGTGAGCATCATTCACTCTTTATGTCACTTCGTTAGGGTGAGCATCATTCACTCTTTATGTCACTTCGTTGGGGTGAGCATCATTCCTCTTTATGTCACTTCGTTATGAGTGAGCATCATTCACTCTTTATGTCACTTCGTTGGGAGTGAGCATCATTCACTCTTTTATGTCACTTCGTTAGGAGTGAGCATCATTCACTCTTTTATGTCACTTCGTTAGGGTAGGGCATCATTCCTCTTCATGTCACTTCGTTAGGGTGGCATCATTCCTCTTCATATCACTTCGTTATGGTGAGCATCATTCACTCTTCATGTCACTTCGTTATTAGTGAGCATCATTCCTCTTTATGTCATTTCGTTAGGAGTGGGCATCATTCACTTTCATGTCACTTCGTTATGAGTGAGCATCATTCACTCTTTATGTCACTTCGTTAGGGTGGGCATCATTCACTCTTCATGTCACTTCGTTAGGACTGAGCATCATTCATTTTTATGTCACTTCGTTAGGGAGTGGGCATGTTCACTTTCGTTCACTTCGTTATGGTGAGCATCATTCACTCTTTATGTCACTTCGTTAGGAGTGAGCATCATTCACTCTTTATGTCACTTCGTTAGGGTGAGCATCATTCACTCTTTATGTCACTTCGTTATGGTGAGCATCATTCACTCTTTATGTCATTTCGTTAGGTCATCATTCACTCGTTAGTTAGGAGTGAGCATCATTCACTCTTCATGTCACTTCGTTAGGAGTGAGCATCATTCACTCTTTATGTCACTTCGTTAGGAGTGAGCATCATTCACTCTTTATGTCATTTCGTTTGGAGTGAGCATCATTCACTCTTTATGTCATTTCGTTAGGAGTGGGCATGATTCACTCTTCATATCACTTCGTTATGGTGAGCATCATTCACTCTTTATGTCACTTCGTTAGGAGTGAGCATCATTCCTCTTCATGTCACTTCGTTATGGTGTCATTCAATCTTTATGTCATTTTCGTTAGAGGGCCTTAGAGGCATCATTCCTCTTTATGTCACTTCGTTTGGAGTGGGCATTATTCACTCTTCATATCACTTCGTTATGAGTGAGCATCATTCACTCTTTATGTCACTTCGTTATGAGTGAGCATCATTCACTCTTCATGTCACTTCGTTTGGGTAGGCATCATTCCTCTTCATGTCACTTCGTTATGAGTGAGCATCAATCCTCTTTATGTCACTTCGTTATTAGTGAGCATCATTCCTCTTTATGTCATTTCGTTATGAGTGAGCATCATTCACTCTTCATATCACTTCGTTATGAGTGAGCATCATTCACTCTTTATGTCATTTCGTTAGGAGTGAGCATCATTCACTCTTCATATCACTTCGTTATGAGTGAGCATCATTCACTCTTCATGTCACTTCGTTAAGGGTGAGCGTCAGTCACTCTTCATGTCATTTCGTTAGGAGTGGGCATCATTCACTCTTTATGTCATTTCGTTTAGGAGTGAGCATCATTCACTCTTCATGTCACTTCGTCAGGGAGTGAGCATCATTCCTCTTCATGTCACTTCGTTAGGGTGAGCATCATTCACTCTTTATGTCACTTCGTTATGAGTGAGCATCATTCAATCTTTATGTCATTTCGTTATGAGTGAGCATCATTCACTCTTTATGTCATTTCGTTAGGAGTGGGCATCATTCACTCTTCATATCACTTCGTTAGGAGTGAGCATCATTCACTCTTCATGTCACTTTGTTAGGAGTGAGCATCATTCACTCTTCATGTCACTTCGTTAGGAGTGAGCATCATTCACTCTTCATGTCACTTCGTTAGGAGTGGGCATCATTCACTCTTTATGTCACTTCGTTATGAGTGAGCATCATTCACTCTTTATGTCACTTCGTTATGAGTGAGCATCATTCACTCTTTATGTCACTTCGTTAGGAGTGAGCATCATTCACTCTTCATGTCACTTCGTTAGGAGTGAGCATCATTCACTCTTTATGTCACTTCCTTAGGAGTGAGCATCATTCACTCTTTATGTCACTTCGTTAGGAGTGAGCATCATTCACTCTTTATGTAACTTCGTTAGGAGTGAGCATCATTCACTCATTATGTCACTTCGTTATGAGTGAGCATCATTCACTCTTTATGTCACTTCGTTAGGAGTGAGCATCATTCACTCTTTATGTCACTTCGTTAGGAGTGAGCATCATTCACTCTTTATGTCACTTCGTTAGGAGTGAGCATCATTCACTCTTCATGTCACTTCGTTAGGAGTGAGCATCATTCACTCTTCATATCACTTCGTTATGAGTGAGCATCATTCACTCTTCATGTCACTTCGTTATTAGTGAGCATCATTCACTCTTTATGTCATTTCGTTAGGAGTGGGCATCATTCACTTTTCATATCACTTCGTTATGAGTGAGCATCATTCACTCTTTATGTCACTTCGTTAGGAGTGGGCATCATTCAACCTTCATGTCACTTCGTTAGGACTGAGCATCATTCACTCTTTATGTCACTTCGTTAGGAGTGGGCATCATTCACTCTTCATATCACTTCGTTATGAGTGAGCATCATTCACTCTTCATGTCACTTCGTTAGGAGTGAGCATCATTCACTCTTCATGTCACTTCGTTATGAGTGAGCATCATTCACTCTTTATGTCACTTCGTTATGAGTGAGCATCATTCACTCTTTATGTCATTTCGTTGGGGAGGAGCATCATTCACTCTTCATGTCACTTCGTTAGGGTGAGCATCATTCACTCTTCATGTCACTTCGTTAGGGAGGAGCATCATTCACTCTTTATGTCACTTCGTTATTAGTGAGCATCATTCACTTTCTTTTCGTTATGGGTCATTTCGTTAGGAGTGAGCATCATTCACTCTTTATGTCATTTCGTTAGGAGTGGGCATCATTCACTCTTCATATCACTTCGTTATGAGTGAGCATCATTCACTCTTTATGTCACTCCGTTAGGAGTGAGCATCATTCACTCTTCATGTCACTTCGTTATGAGTGAGCATCATTCACTCTTTATGTCATTTCGTTAGGAGTGAGCATCATTCACTCTTTATGTCACTTCGTTTGGAGTGGGCATTATTCACTCTTCATATCACTTCGTTATGAGTGAGCATCATTCACTCTTTATGTCACTTCGTTATGAGTGAGCATCATTCACTCTTCATGTCACTTCGTTTGGAGTGAGCATCATTCACTCTTTATGTCACTTCGTTAGGAGTGAGCATCAATCACTCTTTATGTCACTTCGTTAGGAGTGAGCATCAATCACTCTTTATGTCACTTCGTTATGAGTGAGCATCATTCACTCTTCATATCACTTCGTTATGGTGAGCATCATTCACTCTTTATGTCACTTTCGTTATGAGTGAGCATCATTCCTCTTTATGTCATTTCGTTAGGAGTGAGCATCATTCCTCTTTATGTCACTTCGTTAGGAGTGGGCATCATTCCTCTTCATATCACTTCGTTGGGTGAGCATCATTCACTCTTTATGTCACTTCGTTAGGAGTGGGCATCATTCACTCTTTATGTCACTTCGTTAGGAGTGAGCATCATTCACTCTTCATGTCACTTCGTTAGGAGTGAGCATCATTCACTCTTTATGTCACTTCGTTAGGGTCCTTCGTTATGGTGAGCATCATTCATTTCTCTTTATGTCACTTCGTTAGGAGTCATCATTCACTCTTTATGTCCTTCGTTAGGAGTGGGCATCATTCACTCTTTATGTCACTTCGTTATGGTGAGCATCATTCACTCTTTATGTCACTTCGTTATGTCATCATTCACTTTTATGTCACTTCGTTAAGGAGTGGGCATCATTCACTCTTCATGTCACTTCGTTATGGAGTGAGCATCATTCACTATCTTTATGTCACTTCGTTATGGTGGAGCATCATTCGTTTCATGTCACTTCGTTAGGAGGCATCATTCACTCTTTATGTCACTTCGTTGGGTGATCATCATTCACTCTTTATGTCACTTCGTTATGGTGAGCATCATTCCTCTTTATGTCACTTCGTTATGAGTGAGCATCATTCACTCTTCATGTCACTTCGTTGGGGTGAGCATCATTCCTCTTTATGTCACTTCGTTAGGGTGAGCATCATTCACTCTTTATGTCACTTCGTTAGGGTGAGCATCATTCACTCTTTATGTCACTTCGTTAGGGAGTGAGCATCATTCACTCTTTTCATGTCACTTCGTTAGGAGTGAGCATCATTCCTCTTTATGTCACTTCGTTAGGGTGAGCATCATTCACTCTTCATGTCACTTCGTTAGGGTGAGCATCATTCCTCTTTATGTCACTTCGTTAGGAGTGAGCATCATTCACTCTTTATGTCACTTCGTTAGGAGTGGGCATCATTCACTCTTCATGTCACTTCGTTGGGGTGAGCATCATTCACTCTTTATGTCACTTCGTTAGGGTGGGCATCATTCATCTTTATGTCATTTCGTTAGGGTAGTGAGCATCATTCACTCGTCATGTCACTTCGTTAGGAGTGGGCATCATTCACTCTTCATGTCACTTCGTTATGGTGAGCATCATTCACTCTTTTCATGTCACTTCGTTAGGAGTGAGGCATCATTCACTCTTTATGTCACTTCGTTAGGACTGAGCATCATTCACTCACTTCGTTAGAAGTGTCATTCTTTCATTCACTTCGTTAGGGTGAGCATCATTCACTCTTCATGACATTTCGTTAGGGTGAGCATCATTCCTCTTTATGTCACTTCGTTATGAGTGAGCATCATTCACTCTTTATGTCACTTCGTTAGGGTGAGCATCATTCACTCTTCATGTCACTTCGTTAGGGTGAGCATCATTCACTCTTCATGTCACTTCGTTATGGTGAGCATCATTCACTCTTTATGTCACTTCGTTATTAGTGAGCATCATTCCTCTTTATGTCATTTCGTTTGGAGTGGGCATCATTCACTCTTCATGTCACTTCGTTATGGTGAGCATCATTCCTCTTTTATGTCACTTCGTTATGAGTGAGCATCATTCACTCTTTATGTCATTTCGTTAGGAGTGAGCATCATTCACTCTTCATGTCACTTCGTTATGAGTGAGCATCATTCACTCTTTATGTCATTTCGTTAGGAGTGGGCATCATTCACTCTTTATGTCATTTCGTTAGGAGTGAGCATCATTCACTCTTCATGTCACTTCGTTAGGAGTGGGCATCATTCACTCTTCATGTCACTTCGTTAGGAGTGAGCATCATTCACTCTTCATGTCACTTCGTTAGGAGTGAGCATCATTCACTCTTTATGTCATTTCGTTATGGTGAGCATCATTCACTCTTTATGTCATTTCGTTAGGAGTGAGCATCATTCACTCTTCATATCACTTCGTTAGGAGTGAGCATCATTCACTCTTCATGTCACTTCGTTAGGAGTGAGCATCATTCACTCTTCATGTCACTTCGTTAGGGGAGCATCATTCACTCTTCATGTCACTTCGTTAGGAGTAGGCATCATTCACTCTTTATGTCATTTCGTTATGGTGAGCATCATTCATTTATGTCACTTCGTTATGGTGAGCATCATTCTCTTTATGTCACTTCGTTAGGGTGAGCATCATTCACTCTTTATGTCCTTTCGTTAGGGTGAGCATCATTCACTCTTTATGTCACTTCGTTAGGGGTGAGCATCATTCCTCTTTATGTCACTTCGTTAGGAGTGAGCATCATTCACTCTTTATGTCATTCGTTAGGGTGAGCATCATTCCTCTTTATGTCACTTCGTTATGGTGGGCATCATTCCTCTTTATGTCACTTCGTTAGGGTGGAGCATCATTCACTCTTTATGTCACTTCGTTTTAGGGTGAGCATCATTCACTCTTTATGTCACTTCGTTACTAGTGAGCATCATTCACTCTTTATGTCACTTCGTTAGGGTGAGCATCATTCACTCTTCATGTCACTTCGTTATGGTGAGCATCATTCACTCTTTATGTCATTCACTCTTTATGTCCTTCGTTAGGGAGTGGGCATCATTTTTTTTAGGAGTGAGCATCATTCATCTTTATTCACTTCGTTTATCATTCCTCTTCATGTCACTTCGTTAGGGTGAGCATCATTCACTCTTCATGTCACTTCGTTAGGAGTGAGCATCATTCCTCTTCATGTCACTTCGTTATGTGAGCATCATTCACTCTTTATGTCACTTCGTTATGGTGAGCATCATTCACTCTTTATGTCATTTCGTTATGGTGAGCATCATTCACTCTTCATGTCACTTCGTTAGGGTGAGCATCATTCACTCTTCATGTCACTTCGTTAGGAGTGAGCATCATTCACTCTTTATGTCACTTCGTTAGGAGTGGGCATCATTCACTCTTAATGTCACTTCGTTATGAGTGAGCATCATTCACTCTTCATGTCACTTCGTTAGGAGTGAGCATCATTCACTCTTCATATCACTTCGTTATGGTGAGCATCATTCACTCTTTATGTCACTTCGTTAGGAGTGGCATCATTCACTCTTCATTCACTTCGTTGGGAGTGAGCATCATTCACTCTTATGTCACTTCGTTGGGGTGAGCATCATTCACTCTTTATGTCACTTCGTTTGGATGGGCATTCACTCTTCATGTCACTTCGTTATGGGCATCATTCACTCTTTATGTCACTTCGTTATGAGTGAGCATCATTCACTCTTTATGTCACTTCGTTAGGAGTGAGCATCATTCACTCTTTATGTCACTTCGTTAGGGTGAGCATCATTCCTCTTTATGTCACTTCGTTAGGAGTGAGCATCATTCACTCTTTATGTCACTTCGTTAGGGGTGAGCATCATTCCTCTTCATATCACTTCGTTATGATGAGCATCATTCCTCTTTATGTCATTTCGTTAGGAGTGAGCATCATTCACTCTTCATATCACTTCGTTATGAGTGAGCATCATTCACTCTTTATGTCACTTCGTTAGGAGTGGGCATCATTCACTCTTCATGTCACTTCGTTAGGACTGAGCATCATTCACTCTTTTATGTCACTTCGTTAGGGTGGGCATCATTCACTCTTTATGTCACTTCGTTATGGTGAGCATCATTCACTCTTCATGTCACTTCGTTAGGGTGAGGCATCATTCCTCTTTATGTCACTTCGTTATGGGTGAGCATCATTCCTCTTTATGTCACTTCGTTTGGGTGGGCATCATTCACTCTTCATGTCACTTCGTTATGGTGAGCATCATTCACTCTTTATGTCACTTCGTTAGGGAGGCATCATTCACTCTTCATGTCACTTCGTTGGGTGAGCATCATTCACTTTCATGTCACTTCGTTAGGTGAGCATCAATCACTCTTTATGTCACTTCGTTGGGTGAGCATCAATCACTCTTTATGTCACTTCGTTGGGGTGGGCATCATTCACTCTTCATATCACTTCGTTATGGTGAGCATCATTCACTCTTTATGTCATTTCGTTAGGAGTGAGCATCATTCACTCTTCATGTCACTTCGTTATGAGTAAGGCATCATTCACTCTTTATGTCACTTCGTTAGGAGTGGGCATCATTCACTCTTCATGTCACTTCGTTAGGAGTGAGCATCATTCACTCTTTATGTCACTTCGTTAGGAGTGAGCATCATTCACTCTTTATGTCACTTCGTTAGGAGTGAGCATCATTCACTCTTCATGTCACTTCGTTAGGAGTGAGCATCATTCACTCTTCATGTCACTTCGTTAGGAGTGAGCATCATTCACTCTTTATGTCACTTCGTTATGAGTGAGCATCATTCACTCTTTATGTCATTTCGTTAGGAGTGAGCATCATTCACTCTTCATGTCACTTCGTTAGGAGTGAGCATCATTCACTCTTTATGTCACTTCGTTAGGAGTGAGCATCATTCACTCTTTATGTCACTTCGTTATGAGTGAGCATCATTCACTCTTCATGTCACTTCGTTATGAGTGAGCATCATTCACTCTTTATGTCACTTCGTTAGGAGTGAGCATCATTCACTCTTTATGTCACTTCGTTATGAGTGAGCATCATTCATTCTTTATGTCATTTCGTTAGGAGTGAGCATCATTCACTCTTTATGTCATTTCGTTAGGAGTGGGCATCATTCACTCTTCATATCACTTCGTTATGAGTGAGCATCATTCACTCTTTATGTCACTTCGTTAGGAGTGAGCATCATTCATCATTCACTTCGTTATTCATCATTCCTCTTTATGTCATTTCGTTAGGAGTGAGCATCATTCACTCTTTATGTCACTTCGTTTGGAGTGAGCATCATTCACTCTTTATGTCACTTCGTTATGTGGGCAGCATCATTCACTCTTTATGTCACTTCGTTATGAGTGATCATCATTCACTCTTCATGTCACTTCGTTAGGAGTGAGCATCATTCACTCTTTATGTCACTTCGTTAGGAGTGAGCATCATTCACTCTTTATGTCACTTCGTTAGGAGTGAGCATCATTCACTCTTTATGTCACTTCGTTAGGAGTGGGCATCATTCACTCTTCATATCACTTCGTTATGAGTGAGCATCATTCACTCTTTATGTCATTTCGTTAGGAGTGAGCATCATTCACTCTTCATATCACTTCGTTATGAGTGAGCATCATTCACTCTTTATGTCACTTCGTTAGGAGTGGGCATCATTCACTCTTCATATCACTTCGTTAGGAGTGAGCATCATTCACTCTTCATGTCACTTCGTTAGGAGTGAGCATCATTCACTCTTTATGTCATTTCGTTATGAGTGAGCATCATTCACTCTTTATGTCACTTCGTTATGAGTGAGCATCATTCACTCTTTATGTCACTTCGTTGGGGTGGGCATCATTCACTCTTCATGTCACTTCGTTAGGGTGAGCATCATTCCTCTTTATGTCACTTCGTTAGGGTGAGCATCATTCACTCTTTATGTCACTTCGTTATGACTTCGTTATGGGCATCATTCATTCTTTATGTCATTTCGTTATGGTGAGCATCATTCACTCTTTTATGTCACTTCGTTAGGGTGATCATCATTCACTCTTCATGTCACTTCGTTATGGTGAGCATCATTCACTCTTTATGTCACTTCGTTAGGGTGAGCATCATTCACTCTTCATGTCACTTCGTTATGGTGAGCATCATTCACTCTTTATGTCACTTCGTTAGGGTGAGCATCATTCACTCTTTATGTCACTTCGTTATGAGTGGGCATCATTCACTCTTTATGTCACTTCGTTATGGTGAGCATCATTCCTCTTTATGTCACTTCGTTATGAGTGAGCATCATTCACTCTTCATGTCACTTCGTTAGGAGTGAGCATCATTCAAACTTTATGTCACTTCGTTATGAGTGAGCATCATTCACTCTTTATGTCACTTCGTTAGGAGTGAGCATCATTCACTCTTTATGTCACTTCGTTATGGTGAGCATCATTCACTCTTCATATCACTTCGTTATGGGTGAGCATCATTCACTCTTTATGTCATTTCGTTAGGGTGAGCATCATTCACTCTTCATATCACTTCGTTATGAGTGAGCATCATTCACTCTTTATGTCACTTCGTTAGGAGTGGGCATCATTCACTCTTCATATCACTTCGTTAGGAGTGAGCATCATTCACTCTTTATGTCACTTCGTTAGGAGTGGGCATCATTCACTCTTTATGTCACTTCGTTAGGAGTGAGCATCATTCACTCTTCATATCACTTCGTTATGAGTGAGCATCATTCACTCTTTATGTCACTTCGTTAGGAGTGAGCATCATTCACTCTTTATGTCACTTCGTTTGGAGTGAGCATCATTCACTCTTTATGTCCCTTCGTTAGGAGTGAGCATCATTCACTCTTTATGTCACTTCGTTAGGAGTGAGCATCATTCACTCTTTATGTCACTTCGTTAGGAGTGAGCATCATTCACTCTTTATGTCCCTTCGTTAGGAGTGAGTATCATTCACTCTTTATGTCACTTCGTTATGAGTGAGCATCATTCACTCTTTATGTCACTTCGTTAGGAGTGGGCATCATTCACTCTTCATGTCACTTCGTTATGGTGAGCATCATTCACTCTTTATGTCACTTCGTTAGGAGTGAGCATCATTCACTCTTTATGTCACTTCGTTAGGAGTGAGCATCATTCCTCTTTATGTCACTTCGTTAGGGTGGGCATCATTCATCTTTATGTCACTTCGTTAGGGTATCATTCTTCGTTCGTTAGGGTGAGGCATCATTCACTCTTTATGTCACTTCGTTAGGAGTGGGCATCATTCACTCTTTATGTCACTTCGTTAGGAGTGGGCATCATTCCTCTTTATGTCATTCGTTGGGAGTGGCATCATTCTCTTATGTCAGTTGTGAGCATCATTCACTCTTTATGTCACTTCGTTAGGGTGAGCATCATTCACTCTTTATGTCACTTCGTTGGAGTGAGCATCATTCACTCTTCATATCACTTCGTTATGAGTGAGCATCATTCCTCTTTATGTCACTTCGTTATGGTGAGCATCATTCACTCTTTATGTCACTTCGTTAGGAGTGGGCATCATTCACTCTTTATGTCACTTCGTTAGGGTGGGCATCATTCACTCTTCATATCACTTCGTTATGGTGAGCATCATTCCCCTCTTTATGTCACTTCGTTGGGGTGAGCATCATTCATGTCACTTCGTTATGGTCATTCACCTCATTCATTCTTTATGTCATTTCGTTAGGAGTGAGCATCATTCACTCTTTATGTCATTTCGTTGGGAGTGGGCATCATTCACTCTTCATATCACTTCGTTATGAGGTGAGCATCATTAACTCTTTATGTCACTTCGTTAGGGTGGGCATCATTCATGTCACTTCGTTATGGTGAGCATCATTCACTCTTTATGTCATTTCGTTAGGAGTGAGCATCATTCACTCTTTATGTCACTTCGTTTGGGTCATTATTCACTCTTTATATCACTTCGTTATGTGTGAGCATCATTCACTCTTTATGTCACTTCGTTATGGTGATCATCATTCATGTCTCTTCATGTCACTTCGTTAGGGTGAGCCTCATTCACTCTTTATGTCACTTCGTTATGGTGAACATCAATCACTCTTTATGTCACTTCGTTAGGACTGAGCATCATTCACTCTTTATGTCACTTCGTTATGGGTGAGCATCATTCCTCTTCATATCACTTCGTTATGAGTGAGCATCATTCACTCTTTATGTCATTTCGTTAGGAGTGAGCATCATTCACTCTTCATATCACTTCGTTATGGTGAGCATCATTCACTCTTTATGTCACTTCGTTAGGAGTGGGCATCATTCATTCTTCATATCATCATTCGTTAGGGTGAGCATCATTCACTCTTTATGTCACTTCGTTAGGGTGGGCATCATTCACTCTTCATGTCACTTCGTTAGGGTATGAGCATCATTCACTCTTTATATCACTTCGTTATGAGTGAGCATCATTCATTCTTTATGTCATTTCGTTAGGGTGAGCATCATTCCTCTTTATGTCATTTCGTTAGGGAGTGAGCATCATTCACTTTTATATCACTTCGTTATGAGTGAGCATCATTCACTCTTTATGTCACTTCGTTAGAAGTGAGCATCATTCCTCTTCATGTCACTTCGTTAGGAGTGGGCATCATTCACTCTTTATATCATTTCGTTATGTGTGAGCATCATTCACTCTTTATGTCATTTCGTTAGGAGTGGGCATCATTCCTCTTCATATCACTTCGTTATGAGTGAGCATCATTCACTCTTTATGTCACTTCGTTATGAGTGAGCATCATTCACTCTTCATGTCACTTCGTTAGGAGTGAGCATCATTCACTCTTTATGTCACTTCGTTAGGAGTGAGCATCAATCACTCTTTATGTCACTTCGTTAGGAGTGAGCATCAATCACTCTTTATGTCACTTCGTTATGAGTGAGCATCATTCACTCTTCATATCACTTCGTTATGAGTGAGCATCATTCACTCTTTATGTCACTTCGTTGGGAGTGGGCATCATTCACTCTTTATGTCACTTCGTTAGGACTGAGCATCATTCACTCTTTATGTCACTTCGTTAGGAGTGGGCATCATTCACTCTTCATATCACTTCGTTAGGAGTGAGCATCATTCACTCTTCATGTCACTTCGTTAGGAGTGAGCATCATTCACTCTTCATGTCACTTCGTTATGAGTGAGCATCATTCACTCTTTATGTCACTTCGTTATGAGTGAGCATCATTCACTCTTTATGTCATTTCGTTAGGAGTGAGCATCATTCACTCTTCATGTCACTTCGTTAGGAGTGAGCATCATTCACTCTTCATGTCACTTCGTTAGGAGTGAGCATCATTCACTCTTTATGTCACTTCGTTATGAGTGAGCATCATTCATTCTTTATGTCATTTCGTTAGGAGTGAGCATCATTCACTCTTTATGTCATTTCGTTAGGAGTGGGCATCATTCACTCTTCATATCACTTCGTTATGAGTGAGCATCATTCACTCTTTATGTCACTTCGTTAGAAGTGAGCATCATTCACTCTTCATGTCACTTCGTTATGAGTGAGCATCATTCACTCTTTATGTCATTTCGTTAGGTGTGAGCATCATTCACTCTTTATGTCACTTCGTTAGGAGTGGGCATCATTCACTCTTCATATCACTTCGTTATGAGTGAGCATCATTCACTCTTTATGTCACTTCGTTATGAGTGAGCATCATTCACTCTTCATGTCACTTCGTTAGGAGTGAGCATCATTCACTCTTTATGTCACTTCGTTAGGAGTGAGCATCAATCACTCTTTATGTCACTTCGTTAGGAGTGAGCATCAATCACTCTTTATGTCACTTCGTTATGAGTGAGCATCATTCACTCTTCATATCACTTCGTTATGAGTGAGCATCATTCACTCTTTATGTCATTTCGTTAGGAGTGAGCATCATTCACTCTTCATATCACTTCGTTATGAGTGAGCATCATTCACTCTTTATGTCACTTCGTTAGGAGTGGGCATCATTCACTCTTCATATCACTTCGTTAGGAGTGAGCATCATTCACTCTTTATGTCACTTCGTTAGGAGTGGGCATCATTCACTCTTTATGTCACTTCGTTAGGAGTGATCATCATTCACTCTTCATATCACTTCGTTAGGTGTGAGCATCATTCACTCTTTATGTCACTTCGTTAGGAGTGAGCATCATTCACTCTTTATGTCACTTCGTTATGGTGAGCATCATTCACTCTTCATGTCACTTCGTTAGGGTGAGCATCATTCACTCTTCATGTCACTTCGTTGGGGTGGGCATCATTCACTCTTTATGTCACTTCGTTAGGGTGGGCATCATTCACTCTTTATGTCACTTCGTTATGGTGAGCATCATTCACTCTTTATGTCACTTCGTTGGGTGAGCCTCATTCACTCTTTATGTCACTTCGTTAGGAGTGAGCATCATTCATTCTTTATGTCACTTCCTTAGGAGTGAGCATCATTCACTCTTTATGTCACTTCGTTAGGAGTGAGCATCAATCACTCTTTATGTCACTTCGTTAGGAGTGAGCATCATTCACTCTTCATGTCACTTCGTTAGGAGTGAGCATCATTCACTCTTCATGTCACTTCGTTAGGAGTGAGCATCATTCACTCTTTATGTCACTTCGTTAGGAGTGGGCATCATTCACTCTTTATGTCATTTCGTTAGGAGTGAGCATCATTCACTCTTCATATCACTTCGTTATGTGTGAGCATCATTCACTCTTTATGTCACTTCGTTATGGTGAGCATCATTCACTCTTCATGTCATTTCGTTGGGAGTGAGCATCATTCACTCTTTATGTCACTTCGTTAGGGTGAGCATCATTCCTCTTTATGTCACTTCGTTAGGGTGGGCATCATTCACTCTTCATATCACTTCGTTATGGTGAGCATCATTCACTCTTTATGTCACTTCGTTATGGTGAGAATCATTCACTCTTCATGTCACTTCGTTAAGAGTGAACTTTTCTCTGACTTCATGCAGCTACTTTATGAATGTGCATCTCTCTCCCTTAAAACCACTTCGTTATATCTGAGGAAATTTTCCAGCATTCACCGCCGTATAAGAAATTATTTATAAAATAACAATTTCAGCACTGTTTTCTTTTGTTTACCAGTAAGTTTCTCTCTTTTAATACTTTACTTGATTTTTGTAATGCAACTTTCTCTTCAGATTTCTGTCAAATTTCTCGTCGTCTGCTGGCGTCAGGCAAAACATAATTTAGCGTTGGATGTGCGAAACATAATAAAATGATGTTCTATTAGGAAATATTTGTTGGTGTTGTGGGACAGATAAGCGAAGTAAATTCAATAGAGCTGTCTGTTTTGGCACAGACTATCAGACCAATTTTAACTTCGCGCGAATTTTTTTTTTTGAATAATGTTCATCCAATATAAGACTCAAGAACTAACCGAAGTATAGGCTTACTGGAAGAGATGAGTAGTAGGAAATACAAGGAGAAAATAATAAACATACGCAGGATAGATCAAAATTGAGTCCAGACTTAACGTGGTTAAGATTGTAACGTTCGAGTAACCATCCATGATTGTGTTTGTTACACAAATAAGACGTTCTTATGAAGAAGCCGTCTAAAGGGATATTCTTTTTTTAGAAATTCTACGGTGGAGTAATGGATAGCGCCTCGGATTGAGGAATCGGAGAGCCGAGTTTGAATTCCAGTCGAATCCATTACATTCACTTACGTGCTGATACTCTTAGGAAATGTATGAATCCTCTTCTTCTTCACCCAGCTATGGGTAAATAGTAAGCAACTGGTCTGCCGCAGAAAGAAAAGAAAGAGATGTGGGTTGCGGTGTAATGGATATCAGATCGGAATTAGAAAACAAGTTCGAATTCTAGTCGGGTTCGTTACATCCACTTACGCGCTTCCATCTCTTCTGCCTCTTCTGGGCTGAATAGCTAGGCCTTACAGCTACCGGTCCACCACAAAAAGAAACGACACACTGCTGCGGGGGGAAGCTTCTGAATCGAAAGAGACGTGATCGCCCAAGCGTGTATCAAATATTCACTGAACTGACTGTTACAAAGAGAATGAGGTTGATGAGGGAGATTCGAATCTGTTTGACTTTGAAAATCGGTTCTTACCCGTAAAGCTTTAAACAGGCTGAACTAAGAAATGGAGAACAGGGAGAACTAGAGAATGAATCTGAATATTTGCTTTGGAATCAATGATGGAGTAGCGAGAGGCTTGTGACTTCCATAAACATGAGAACATGTTGTAAAAATGACCGCACAAAATCTCTCTCGCTTCTCCGAATTTAATATTTTGAATAGTCAAACAGAATTATTTATCAAATTAATATTGTAGACCGGCGTGCTAACTTCTTTTTATATGCTTTTTAAATAATTTTGGTTGAGAAAGGTGCCAGGGAACGTCGCGCAAAAATACTCGAGAGAACGAGCTTCATAGGTAATTACTAAGAGTAGACGCCCACGTAGGCAAGTATACGTATGTGAATCTGCACATCATTTCAACCTTGTCAAAGTTGTTCTTTTCAGACGTTATTATCATTATAATTATTTTTTACTATTATTATTATTATTATTATTATTATTATTATTATTATTCCCTTTGTTTCCTGTTGTATAGACATTTTCTTCCGGATCCCAACTAGAGACCTAAGATAAGTAATGGCATCATGACATTTTACACTGAAAAACAAAAAACAAAAAAACAAACTAAGATCACACATTTTACATCGATAAAGATCTTCGTAATGTGTGAGTTGTACTTGCGAGTACCATTTTTTGTATCTCTTTTAGATATGGGCTACCGGGAATGCCTTTATTGAGTATATTGGAACCTTTCCCAATCAGTCCGTGGACTCAAACAACAACTGGAATTATTAATGTCTTCCTGTGCAAGATTTCCAATTGAGGATCCGTGTATTTTGATAGTTCTTTGAAGATTTTCAAAGATACATTAAAATCTGCAGTGACTGCCATGTCTATATGAAAGCAAATTCTGTTTTTGTGGTTTTTGATCACGATGTCTAAGCGATTAGCTTTGATTGTTTTGGCGGTGCGCATTGTAAAGTCGAATAAAATTGTTCCAAGTCTTATGTCTCTAATCGGGTCTGCGTGGAACACATACAAGTTTTTTTCAGTTATCATTATTATTATTATTAAGTTTATTTGTATTGGGTACACTCGTTTGTATCCATCTTTCAGCGAGACAGGTATCTATAGTCAACTAAGGCACAATAATACAATACAATTTCTAAAATTAAAATCATTTCACTAAATATAAGACTTTTTTCCTGTTCAAGTAGAGAACTCTCCGGCACAATGATACCTAACGACATGCTGATTTCCACAAGCGAAGATAAAACATACGTATACGCACATATCCTTGAACCTATATATATATATATATATATATATATATATATAACACATTGCTCATTGTTATAAAACAAAGGTATTATATATGTGTTAGTGAATATATATAATGTCCCACGTCGATAACACGACTCGGAGTTTCGTGCGGATATGCAATCTTCAGGTGCCGAATACTCATTGACCGTTGAGCGTTATGAAAATCGCGTTCTCGTGGTGTTGATTTAAAATTGTGTGTTAAGACTTGTTCCTTTTATTATTGTTGTACATAATATTTAAATTAATTATTTATAATTTATATCAGTCAAAGTCTTATGTTCGAAAGGCGAATTATTTTTTTTTTTAAAAAGAAATCCGTTTTAAAATAAATTTATTTTTACAAGAATTTTTTTTTTAATTATTCGTCCTGGGTAAACGGTCCGTTCCATGTACTGCTCCAGCAGGTACGTCACCCCTCCTGATATCCTCTACGTTTATAGAAGCCTAATCAGGCCAAAAATGGAGTATTGTTGCCACATATTGCCAGGATGTGCCTAGTCATCACTTTCCACTCTCAAGAGAATCCAAATGCATTTGTTTGCGACGAATTATTTTTCACTCTGCTCCGACTTTCTCAAAGATGAGACTTCGGAAGCCTCTCACTGTCCTATCGCTATTTCCACGGTGAGTGTTTACATGGACGACTATCCTTAGTTCCATCAGTCCTAAACTTCACGTCAAAGATCCACCATACTGCACACATTGTAGCGAACCAGATTCATATCCCCCTGCTGAAATCTAATTTTCACTCAAGCAGCTACTTCCCACGAACCCCTGTCTTGTGGAAGTGACGGCTACGTACCTGCTTTCAAGTCTAGGGTTAACCGTTATCTTCCCCACATTTCCGCATAAGCTATACCTCTTACTATACGTAGTTAGAAGTATATCTTATGCGGATATGCTTGGACCACTGCAGGGCATGTACAGGGGGAACACTTCCGCAAAAACAACAAAAACACTTGTGAATCATTGTAAGACTGCTTTAATCACATTTGGCTCGGATATGTTCAGTGTAAATATTTTAACTCACGACTCAGATGATAAGCTTTTTAAGTTCAGAATTCATGAAATTTTATATTTATTTCGCTAGTTTAATTGAAGAGTTTCCGCATTTATCTACTTAAAAGGTAATAACTTGATTTTCGCTGTAAGAGTAGAACTTCTAAACAACTGATGTATTTTATAAAAAAAAAAAAATTCTCCGCGTAATTGTTTTCAATAGATTACATCTCTCTTTTGCCTCCATAGTCTAGGAAGTCAGATTTTAATTACTTAAATATATCATGTGCCTATCGGAAATTAATTTCTGGTGCCTTTCTTTAGACTTAAAAAAATGAAGAGTCTGATAATACTGTCTGTTTATATATGTGTGTGTATCGAAATATGAAAAACTGAAGAAATATTCCACCGATAAAAACCAAAAAAATAGTTCCATAAAAACGTTATTAATTAAAGCAACAAACATAATGAGAGGGTAAACCAAATTAGTAGTAGGTTTCAACAAATCAAGTCAGTTCTTAGAGTAAGTCAATAAAATCATTCACAATATGACAAGAGCGAAACAGAAAGACTGCATACTTTCTAGGTCCCCTAAATTAATCCAACACCGAACCTTTACTACAAAGATCGATATAGATGTCAGGTTATATTAGTACAAATATGACAACTATCTCGAAGACACACCTCAAAACGTCGCAGATGAAAAGAATACATTGCCCTATGAATAGCAGAATACCTTGTCCTATGAATAACAGAATACCACGTATCAGGGAAAATTAAGTGGACGTTTCAAAAATTCAAAGTTTTCACACAGTTAAACTAATTACAAACGGGAGAAAAAGATTTTCTTTTTAAAGTTGTCAGCCCTAAAAATATAAACCCTAACATTAATCATATTTCTGCTTCATTAACCTTTAAAATAAACATAAATGAACGCACTGGTAAGATGGATTAAACTCACCTCTTTAAGAAAACAGGAAAAATAAACATTTAAATGGCAAAGCCAGAATAAAATCCACATTAAGATAGTCGAGCACTGCTGTTTATCTTCAAAATAAACTACACGTCCATTCGACAAATACCCTTTCACCAAAATGCACATTAAAAAAGAAGAGGTGATTTCGAGACCGTCATCCATCATTATTATCTGCCAGTACATATGTCTGTATAATGTCTATGAATACGAAGGTAGGCCGGAAAATTCATAGGCTGGCTATGAAGGATTGGTGCTAGAGTTGTGGAATCTTGCATGCATTAATTTCAATTCTTTTTTTTTGTTTCTTCTACATTGTTTATTTCCAGGTATACTGACATCTAACTACTCAAAGACTTAGAATCTAACTAGTAGCCACAAAATGGGGTTATCGAAAACCTTCAGGAAAAGTGTTTAGCCCCCAAAGACTTTATGCTATTTGTTACATTATGGGATGACGTTCCAGCTTTATCAACAGTGCAAAAGTGGGCAAATGAATGGAATGGACGGGAAGGACGAGACATGAAGAAGACCCATGATCTGAATAAGA